GTGTCCTCCGTCACGCAGGGCAGTGAAGAGGGGGCAGGGATCCTGCTGCCCCCTCTGAAGGTGTGGGTAAGAGAAGCCAGTGTGTGGGAGGGGAAGTTCTGCTTTTCCCGACAACCAAGGGCCAGGGAGGTGGCGCCCAGCAAGTCTAGAAGAGCGACCTAGGCAGTTACATGGGGTCTGCTGAGGGGCCCCTTGCTCCGCCTCACTCTTAGGCCTCCTAGACCCTGGCAGAGGCGAAAAGTGAACCTGCCACAAAACCCGACTCTTGTGAACCACAAATACATTCTGATCTTTGATCCTTAAAAATATGCTTCCAAAGAACTTCTCAATCCACACACAGGGCTGGGTGGCAGCGCAGTGGTGAGATGTGTGCTTAGCATGCGTGGAACCTTGGGTTCAGTCCCCAGCACCACACACACGCACACAGCATAGACAGACCTCCACAAAGACCGCAGAAGCCAAGTAATATCAAATGAGTGCGGCAGGAGGAAGCCCTGTTTGATACCAATAAACACACCCGCATCCTAACTACAAAGGGAGAAGAGAGGCTGGAGGGGGAACATCCCTCAGCATAATGTAATTTCTACATAGTACAAATAGTACATAGAGTATAATGTGCTTTAATAATTTAGTTTTTATGTGGTTTTCAAGACTGTCAAAGATCAAAGAATTAACTCACATAGGTATACTAAGTCTGTATATACACACTGTTAGCAAAAGAATGGGAAAAAGTCCCGTGAATCATTTAATCTGGAATAAGCACCTACTACAAAACTATACTAAAGCTCCTAAAAGCCAGGTGGGCCTGGATCAGAAGAATCAGAAACCTTATCCAGACCTATGTGGAATAAATCTGTCCAGCAGTGACACTGATTTACCCTTCTGCTTAGCGTTACACAAGTACGCAGGCATATTCCAAGACACACGTAAGAATTAGAGATTAGGAGACCCTCAAATCACCAATTTCAATTCCAAATCATTAATACAGGATCTTTTAAACTTAATTTTGCTTTGATGCTAAAATGACAGAAAGAGGGAGAGACAGAAAGGGAAATTAACCCCAGCAAAGGTTTGGGACAGGGTTATTTAGCAAACACAGTCATACACTGTGTATGAAACCACATGACAAGGTGGCATGCAAAGCAAATGTTGACTATGCAACAGGGAAAAGGGAAGGAGAGAAAGAGCTTAAAAGCAATTTTACGACTTCAAGTATGTAACTGCGGGAGCATGCAGACCATCAGGGTAACTTTCCCAATTTCCTCCAAATGCTGGTAGGGATTTGTGCGAAGCTGTGCGACTTAGTTTAGGGAAAACCGATTGCATCACTCTGGCCTTGCCCTTGGCCTGGCTTCATGTTCCCTCCAGAGACTGTGCTTGGGCTGCCTTAAGCACAGTGCTCTAGAAAATCTGCCTTACGTTCTCAGAAACAGGCCCCCAGGTAAGCCCCATTGCTAAGCCCTCTCAGGATAGATCCACTTTCCTCAGAAGGCATCTGAAAAGATTCATAACTTTAGTTGGATCTTTTTTGATTATGAGTTTTTTGGTTGTTTTTTCTTTTTTTAAAGACAATTTTTGCTTTTAGTAGTTTAATCATTTCTAGATTCCAGTGCATAGCTAAACTACAGGGCTTGCGCTCGCTCTCTCGCTCGCTCTCTCTCTCTCGCTCTCTCTCTCTCTCTCTCTCTCTCTCTGGGTAATGACAAGTCATATTAACTGTTTTAATAATAATACCACTGACTTCTGCCCTTGTAACACTATCCTTACATGCTTAATGTCACAAATGAGCATTTCTGATGTTTTCTTTTCATCATTAGACTACTTTTCAGAACACAGTTCTGAGCTGAAAGAAAAAAGCTATGCTGTTCTTCCAGAGCAGTTTTGGTTTGTATTCGTAGTTTAAAGGCGCCTCTCCTTACTCTGCACTGTAGGGACAAGGGAAGGTCAACGTTGAGCAAGTCGTTCCTGACTCATCAGTGACCCTTAGCACTAGGATCTTGAAATCATTTTAGATTCAGACTGAAACGGCGCTGTAGTTTTAAAAAATCCCTATGTAGTGCATCTACAGGCATAAAAGGAAAGAAAG